CTGGTGTCGCGCGTCACACCCATGTACCGCGTCTGCAAGAGCTCGCTCAACCCACAGGGTCGGTCAACGAATTTGAGGCACTGACCCAACGAGTTTGGGGCGCGTGCACATAGTTTCGGCGAGAGTCAAGAACAAAAAAAACGCGTTCGAGATAGGGGTCTCGCAGAAACACGCGAGCGCGCGAGAAAGAACACAACCACTCCTGTCCCGCACACCAACCTCCAAAACTCCAGGTTCTCCCAGTGAATCTGGCGCATGAACACCGCGGGGACCCTCGCTCGGAACCGCTTCCGCCGCCTCGGACCCAACACCACCCCCCCCCGGCCCTTCCCCCCACGCTTCCCACCGTCACCGTCAACGCCTGCTCCCGGCGAAGCGGAGACAGCGGCGGCGGTAGGAGACAGCGGCGGCGGCGGCGGCGACAGTGACCGAGGCGACGCACCCGGCGAACGGCCGCGACAGCGGCGGCGACGGCTACCACTGCCCTCTCCCGCCGCTGACTCCCCTTGCTGCTGCTCCGGCATGACTCTGTCGTAGACCAGCATGAAGGCGTTGCGCGTCCTCTCTCGCCTCCACGCGGAGGAGGGCGAGGAAGAGGATCCAGAGCCGTTGCCAACGCTGCTGTACTGTCCCTGCTGCGCGTGATGGGAGCGCTGATAGGAAGTGCTATGCTGGGAGTTTTCCTCGCCCCCGAAGCATTCAGCCTCCATGTCCTGGGGCAGTGGGGTTTGAAGGAGGGGTGTGGGACATTGTGCACGTTGCGAGCGGTGGTGGCAACGTCACCTTACGATGGGAGGTGGATATTTTAGAGGGGTGTTTCGTGCAGCGAGGGGATTGGTAGACACCCATTCTGCACTGTTAGAGCAGAACAGCGGGTGCGTGAGCAACCTGGACTTTCGACGCGTGGCCAAGGAGAAGGAGTCGCACATCACATCGCAACCGCTCGTTTCAGCAAGCGGCAGCGGCGGATCTGCAAACGTGGCACACAAGGGTCGATAGAAATAATCCCCATGTGAAACAACCACACACGCCTGTCTGCACCGGGCCAAGAAGTGAATCAGCACACACTCTCTCTCTGCCCGCAGCGCACCTCAACATCGAAGGTGGACACCACGGTATCGTTGAACTCCAGCCACTCGCCGCCGCCGTCCCTCGGACGTATGTAGCTGTAGTAGTGCCCGGAGTTGGCCGTGCCCATGTGCACCACGACTCCGGCGAGGTGGTAGTGGTAGTACTCTTCCGGCTTTGCTGGCTCTTCTTCCTTCTTCGCGGCACACAGCGAAAGCGACAAGAGGTCAAACGGAGCACAGACAAAACAGACAACGTGGCAACCGCCCCGCACCAAATTCGCGGAACTACATATTTACTCCGACTGACCGTGTAGGCTTCAGCAGGTCGGGCGGGCGGGCGGGCGGGGGGGGGGG